AAAAGAAAGAGAGAAATAGAGAGAGAGAGAGAGAGAAATAAAAAAATTCATGATCAAATTATGTTTTGAAACATTTGATACAGGTGTTTTACACATAATTTTATCAAAAAATTGATATACATATCAGCGATAAATTAAAAATTTTTCAAAAAAAAAGAAAAACTTAATTTACTTAAAAAAAATAGTGACAAGTAAAAGTGACAAGTGAAAAGGCTGAAAAACTGAGAAAGTAATTATTGAAATTTTGATAAAAATGATTATGTCAAATATGTGATAATTCTTTTAAACAATTATCATATCATTTTAAAAGAGAAACTTATCAACAGGAAGGAAAATATTAGGTTATATTAAGCAAAGATGGTTTTTTCTTTAATTGTTAGAATATTTTATTTTTATTGACTGATATTTCGATAAGTTATCTTTTTTTCATTATCAATAATCACTATCTACTATCTGATAATTTGACAATTTATGAATAAGACCTTTGAAAAAAAATGACTGACAGGATGATGATAAGTTAATTTTAAGTATTATGCGAAACAGAAATGGGAAGTGTATTATTAAAAATCGAAATAACTATAAGCAGAATAATAAGTATTACGCAAAAAAAGTTCAGTAATTCCCGACAAAAAAAAAAAAAATTACAAAATTGTGATAAAGTAAAGAATTTTGAAAATTATAATGCCTTTTTGCTTGGTTAAAACAAATACAAATAACATTCTACAAATTGATATAAATCATATAATGAATAAGTACTTATAATTTTAATTAAATTATTACAATTTAATAAATTAATAAATACATAGTAAAAAGATTTGATGCACAAATGGACATAAATTGGAAAATGAAGAAAATACTTAAATGATTATTTTAATTAAATTATCCAAACAATAAATTTTTTTCGTTTTAACAAATACATATCGTGTTTGGTCTAGTTAATTAATTAATTACATAAGTGAAGATTATTTTACTTAGTAAATAAATAATAAATAATAAATAAATAAAAAAAAAAGGTGAACACTTATCAATATAAGCGGAATAACCAGAAAAGATAATCTATTGCAACAAATATTACTGTAATTAATTTAATAAATCATTTAAAAGATTGAAAATAAAAGAGAATTTTTTAAAAAAAATATGAAAAGCTTAAAATTAAATACCTTTTCATTAAAAATTCGCTTGGTAGTGGTGACCTTATGTGACATCATTGTTGTTATTCGAAAACTAAATAAATGAAATAATTTAAACAATCGTCGTCTATCACTTGTCACCTTGATAAACTACTTCACTCAGAAATGATTAAAATAAATTCGAAACAGTAGAACTGAAATTTATTTGTGTGTCTGTGTGTGTGTGTTTTTATATATGTGGTAGAATAAGCTAATGATAATGAATGTTTGAAAAATAGCTTAAAAGTTTCGGAAGCAAAAAAAAGAAAGAGAAAAAAGAAAAAGGATCAAACAAAAACTGAAACTTACAACAAACTTTCGTCTCTTTTGATGATATTTGTTAGTGTTTGTTAAATACTTTCGATTTAATTTCATAAAAATTAAAAACCATCTGGCCATCTTTTTTCTTTTCTCTCTTGTTTACACAACTACTACTGTTTGTTGGATGTGTTCAATTGTCGTTTGTTCGTTAAAACTTGAAAGAAACTTTTTGAATGCTCTCAAAAATGATCATCCCTATGATTCATTCATTTCTTCTTCTCTTCTCGTCTTGTTAAATAACTTTCTATCTTTTTTGGAGGTACATTAAAGTATGAAAGGTAAAAAAAAAGACGAAAATTGTAATAATTAGCACAACTTGGATGGTTTATATAATCAAAAATTTTCGAATAGATTCATAATTTAATAAATATTTCTAAATTTAATTTATTATAATTATTTGTATTTTGCAACAGATTTCTGTATAATAATAATAATAATAAATAAT